GAACTGGGACGGACTCTCGCTCCCTGGTCACTGCTGCTGCTGCCGCTGCTTTGCGTCTCTGTCTAGCCTCAACAATATTTTTACGACGTGTCTTTTCAAAGTTCTCCTGCGCAAGCTTGGTCAGCGAGCGCCAGCCACAGCGGTCCTGTGCTTGTTTCTCGAGTTGTTTAGGGGGTATGTCAGCATACTTGATGTTCTCCTTAATACTGTCTTTAAAACGTTTCTGAGGCCTACCCCTCTTTCTTTTCCCCTGGCAAAGCTCGCCGTACAAAAGTTGTTTAGGGATCCTAGTGTCATCCATACGGATGACATGTCCTGTCCACCGCAGTTGGGCTTTGAGTATGAGAGCTTCAATACTGATGGTTTCCGCTCTGTCAAGAATCTCAAGGTTAGACACCTTATCCTGCCAGCGAACTCCAAGGATCGAGCGCAGACTGCGCATATGAAAGCGCTCCAGCTGCTTGATATGTCTCTTATACAGAGTCCAAGTCTCACAGCCGTACAGGAGGCTGGGGATAACAACTGCGTGATAGACTTTCAACTTCGTGGATAACTTAACGTTATGCTGTTTCAAGACTCGAGTTCTCAGTCTGCCGAGTGCTTGGCTGGCTTTACAGATCCTGCTGTTGATCTCTTTATCGAGGGAGCCGTCATTGGAGATCACACTACCAAGGTAAGTAAACCCATCCACGGTCTTCAGTTGAGTACCCTCGATTGAGATACACGGGCCACGGGCTACAGAGAGTGGTGCAGGTTGAAGCAGAACTTCTGTCTTGCCAAGACTAATGGTGAGTCCAAAGAGGTCCGCTGCCTCAGCAAATTTGTTGACGAACATCTGAAGGACTGGCTCCTTGTGGGCCACCAGGGCGCAGTCGTCAGCAAATAGGGCCTCCAATATAGTTGTCACCACTGTCTTTGTCTTCGCCTTTAGCCGACGTAGGTCGAAGAGAGACCCATCTGTTCTGTACTTCAGGTGCACTCCATCTCTTACATCGCTCAAGGCCTGGTTGAGAACACAGGTGAAGAACAGGTTGAAGAGAATTGGGGCTAGCACACACCCCTGTTTGACACCGTTGGAGATTTCAAAAGTTTCAGATGCTTCTCCCCCACAGAGTACCATGCCTGTCATGTTTTAACAGACAGCAACATTGAACAATAGAGCCAAGTCAACAGACGTCGGCACGGTCCTTGAAATCAGGTTTCCCGCCGCCGTGCGTTTGGAAAAGACGCCGCGCCGTGGCTCATTCAAATTCGCTAGATTTTTTCCATGTCTTTACCCACGATTTTTGACCGTCAATGTTGACGGTAAGGACTAAAATTTTTACCGTCAGACGGGACAAATTACCGTCAATTGACGGTAAAACGGTCGCTGGCTAAAGCCCTGTTTAACAGTAACTTCCATCACAAGAAATAAGATTCACCCAAATTTTCAACTGTACAACTCCAGTCTTTGTCAAGGAATGAGTTTATAGATAGATAGATTCATTCCTCAGCTAACCGACATCTAGCACACCGCAGTCGTCCCTCAGGAAGACGTCTAGAGCTTGCATGGTTCCTGTTTAGAACTTCAGCTGATGGGGTTTGCTCTGTGGGCGTCTTCATGTGTTAGGAGGCTAAATGACATGAAGTTCTCACTTTTACACCTTTCCAATACATATCCCCCTGGCCAGTGATAACACAATAACCGTGCAGGTTGGAGTATATGGACATATATGACAGTATGTTTCCCATTTCGCAGGTGGGGATAGAGTTTATGGATCTGTACAGTCACCTCATCCCGGTGTACGATGTGGAGCCGCTGGAGAAGATCACGGATGCGTACCTGGACCAGTATCTCTGGTACGAGGCCGACAAGCGACGCCTGTTCCCTCCCTGGATCAAACCAGCCGACACAGAACCCCCGCCGCTACTGGTCTACAAGTGGTGCCAAGGTGAGTGTTTGAGGATTTGTTTGTTTGTTCGTGAGATACTATAGAAATGAACAAGAAGTAGTTAGGCCTTCAAGTACCAGTGTTATCAACCAAGAAATTGAGGTGTTCAAGAATTCATTCTTTCCTAGAACTATCGGAGAGTGGAACTCGCTGTCACCAAGTACAGTAGGGGCACTGTCAATAGATGGCTTTAAACAATGTATAGAGTTAGATGTTCAAAGCATTAAAAAATGACACGTTTGTTTTTTATTGAATTTCACAGGAATAAACAACCTTCAGGATGTGTGGGAGACAGGAGAATGGAGTGTAACGTGTTTGTTTGTTTGTTTATTTCCAGGGATAAACAACCTTCAGGATGTGTGGGAGACAGGAGAAGGGGAGTGTAACATGTTTGTTTATTTGTTTGTTTATTTCCAGGAATAAACAACCTTCAGAACGTGTGGGAGACAGGAGAAGGGGAGTGTGACGTGTTTGTTTATTTGTTTATTTGTTTTTAGAGATAAACAACCTCCAGGACGTGTGGGAGACAGGAGAGGGGGAGTGTAACGTGATGATGGAGTCTCAGTTTGAAAAGATGTATGAGAAAATCGATCTGACGCTCCTGAACAGACTCCTGCATCTCACCATTGTTTGCTTGTTTGTTTATTTGTTTATTTTTAGGAATAAACAACCTCCAGGATGTGTGGGAGACAGGAGAAGGGGAGTGTAACGTGATGATGGAGTCACAGTTTGAAAAGATGTACGAGAAAATCGATCTCACGCTCCTGAACAGACTCCTGCATCTCACCATTGTTTGTTTATTTGTTTGTTTTTAGGGATAAACAACCTTCAGGACGTGTGGGAGACAGGAGAAGGGGAGTGTAACGTGATGATGGAGTCACAGTTTGAGAAGATGTATGAGAAAATCGATCTGACGCTCCTGAACAGACTGCTGCGTCTGATCGTGGACCACAACATCGCCGACTACATGACTGCCAAGAACAATGTCGTCATCAACTACAAGGTCAGGAATCAATAGTTTGTGCTTATAAACCTGCATTTCCCCTCTGGTCTCTCAGTCACTGACGAAAGCTAGTGGGTACTAGTTGAAACGTCTGACGTTTTTCAAAATCATAGCCAGTTGCTTGAGTAACTGCTTTGTGGCGTAAGGTCAGGAAGCAATCAATAATGGTTTAAAAATTATTGATCAATCATGAACATTCATCGACGTATCTAATACAATCTTTCTGAATTGTTTTTTTGTATCTTCAGGACATGAACCACACCAACTCGTACGGGATAATCCGTGGCCTCCAGTTCGCCTCCTTCATTGTGCAGTACTATGGACTGGTGATGGACCTTCTGTTACTGGGTCTACAGCGTGCTAGCGAGATGGCAGGACCTCCACAGATGCCCAACGACTTCCTCACATACCAGGTAAACTTTAATATTTATCCTCTTCATCCCTTGTGAGACATAAGGCCTGACTTTTCCCTTCCATCTGGGTCCGTCCTTCGCCACCTTACCTGATTGCCAGGATGATCCCAATGGCCATCTGAAAAAGTTCTTCTCCATGTGGTTTTGGGTCTTCATTTTTCACCTTTCCCAACAAGCCCTATATCCAGTTTTAGGTACTCCTGTTGTCCATTTGTAATACTTGTCCACCCACCCCGTTTCTATGGATAGTTGCAATACCCTGATGAAATTTGTTTCCAGGACGTTGCCACGGAGACGTCCCACCCGGTGCGCCTGTTCTCGCGGTACATCGACCGGATCCACATCTTTTTCCGCTTCAGCGCGGAGGAGGCTCGGGACCTGATCCAGCGCTACCTGACGGAACACCCGGACCCAAACAACGAGAACATCGTTGGGTACAACAACAAGAAGTGCTGGCCGAGGGACGCAAGGATGAGGCTCATGAAGCACGATGTCAACCTGTAAGTCGGGAATTAAACTTTTTTTCGAAAAATTTAAAAAGATATTTTTTTTTAAATTAAAAAAAAATTTTTGAAAATTTAAAAAATCGAAAAATTTTTTAAAAGATTTTTCGAAAAATTACAAATAAAATTTTTTTTCGAAAATTTACTTTTTTTTGCATTGCACAGTGTGACTTATGAAGCATGCTCAAACAACCTAGTGAGAACATTGTATATTGCAGATGTTGTGAATTTTGATTATTGACAAATTTTATTTCTTCTCCTGTTCCCAGCGGCCGTGCAGTGTTCTGGGAGATGAAGAACCGCCTGCCCCGCTCGGTGACCACCATCGTTTGGGAGAACAGCTTCGTGTCTGTGTACAGCAAGGACAACCCCAACCTGCTGTTTAACATGTGCGGCTTCGAGTGCCGGATCCTGCCCAAGTGCCGCACAACCTACGAGGAGTTCACGCATCGCGATGGTGTCTGGAACCTGCAGAACGAGGTAGGAGAATTGGGATTGCATTTCGTACAACTAATTTGCAGGGCTTGAAATACTGGGTGCATCACCGTGCATGCACACCTTAGTGCACCAACTGTGTACCCAATTTTTTTCTGTGGGTGCACTGGCCCACCCAAATATTTTTCTACTAGGTATATTTATTTTGTAAGTATCAAATGGATAATACTATACAAGATATTTTTAGTGGCTAGGTGCCAGAAAAATAATAAAATCTGTAGTACTACTGTACTTGTTTTAAAGTTTGAAGTTAGTTCCCAATTCAGACTCAAGCTCAGAAGAGGAGCACTAAGATCTGTTATTAGCTTTTGTTTTATATGGTTAACCCAAAAAATGTTTTGTGCACCCAATTTTTAGGTTGGGTGCATCAGTGCACCTATTACCAAAAATGAATTTCGAGGCCTGATTTGCTTTCCAGTTGTAACCTAAGATCCCTGTTCTTTCTAGGTGACAAAGGAGCGTACGGCGCACTCTTTGCCTGATGTCGAAACTCAAGATTTAAGATTTCTTGTCTCTGTTCCAGGTGACTAAAGAGCGTACTGCGCAGTGTTTCCTGCGTGTGGACGATGAGTCCATGCAGAGGTTCCACAACCGTGTTCGGCAGATTTTGATGGCCTCCTGTTCCACCACTGTGTGTGCCATACCTTTCCAGTTCTAACCTAAGATCCCTGTCCTTTCTAATCCAGGTAACTAAAGAGCGTACTGCGCAGTGTTTCCTGCGTGTGGACGATGAGTCCATGCAGCGGTTCCACAACCGTGTTCGCCAGATCCTCATGGCATCCGGTTCCACCACCTTCACCAAGATTGTCAACAAGTGGAACACCGCCCTCATCGGACTCATGACATACTTCCGCGAGGCTGTGGTACGTTTGTTTGTTTGTTTTTGAGCTACATTATAAATGTACATTATCATCTACCACTAGATAAGCACATTGGCAGAACATACTGCACCTGCATTTTTGTTGGATGTTTGGTAAACGTTGCATCAGAATTTTGCCTGTTGCAGACGGCATCTTTTTTGAAACTACAGACGGGATGTTAACCAAATATACGCAAAATTGGCTTATATGAGACGTTCTGCCAAAGTGCTATACACAATACATTATTATTATGGGTTTTGTGAAGGTGCAGTACGCTCTGAAAGATACAGTAGCTACTTTCAGACTCAGAGTTGTAATGTCTTTGTGAATTTAAGCATCAAGGAACCAATAGAAATAGTGCAATGCACCTCAAGCTGTTCTATACACATGTATCTGTAAAGCCTGTAGGAAAAACAAGTTTTTGTACACCTCAATCCTTCAGGTTGATAACTCTGGTACTTCAGGGCCCTCCACAAGCAATGAAGTTAGGTTGCTCCTCCTCTACCCAAAACTGTACTTAAAGGCATCATTTCGTTCCTTATCCCCCAGGTGAACACCCAGGAGCTCCTTGACCTGCTGGTCAAGTGTGAGAACAAGATCCAAACCCGGATCAAGATCGGGCTCAACTCCAAGATGCCCTCCCGCTTCCCGCCCGTGGTGTTTTACACGCCGAAAGAGCTAGGGGGCCTCGGGATGCTGTCCATGGGCCACGTACTGATCCCACAGTCGGATCTGCGATGGTCTAAGCAGACCGACGTTGGCATCACGCATTTCAGATCAGGCATGAGCCACGACGAAGACCAACTCATCCCTAACTTGTACAGGTGAGTGGGTTATTTTTACTTTGATCTATTAAAAAAAACACATAACAACCAAAGGCTGAATTGCGTGTTTCTGTACAAATGGTGATTTTACTCCAAACGCACTGACTTCAAACAGTATCAGGTAAGACGTTCAGTTGTGTTTCATAAACTTAGAGGTGAAAAAAGGTCTTGATAGACACGCTGGCGTATGACAAGGGCTGGAGGGTCTGCACAGACTTCAAGCAGTATCAGGTAAGACATTCAGCCGTTTTCTGAAACTTAAGACGTGAAGAAAGGGGCCCCGGGATGCTGTCCATGGGCCACGTGCTGATCCCACAGTCGGATCTCCGATGGTCCAAACAGACCGACGTCGGCATCACGCATTTCCGATCTGGCATGAGCCATGATGAGGACCAGCTTATCCCCAACTTGTACAGGTGAGGGGTTAACTGTGCCTGGAAATGGTGTAAATTTTAAAAAAAATTAATTCATATTTATGTAGCAAGTGGAAGGACAGAGTTGGAGGGGATGGTCATATCTATGAATGTGTCGGAGTAAGAAGAAACAGCAGTAGTTTGTTAGGCTAGACCACCATGAATGTTCCCTCAGTGCTGCAATATTGGACATAAAACAGGAATAAAAGCTGTTTTTCTTTCTTTGTTAGTAGCTAAACATTCCCTGCTTGGTTTGTAGTCAGTGACTGGGAAATGAATCAGTTCTGTTTTTTATTCTTTGTTCTTTGTTCCCTGTAGGTACATCCAGCCGTGGGAGAGTGAGTTCATCGACTCTCAGCGCGTCTGGGCAGAGTACGCCCTCAAACGACAGGAGGCGAACGCGCAGAACCGTCGCCTGACCCTGGAGGACCTGGAAGACTCGTGGGACCGCGGGATTCCCCGCATCAACACACTCTTCCAGAAGGACAGACACACGCTGGCGTACGACAAGGGGTGGAGGGTCCGCACTGACTTCAAACAGTATCAGGTAAGACAGACGTTTAAAAAGTTTCTTTTGTCAGGATGTTAGCCACCAAATCAATGCAGACCATCCTCAGTCATAAATGGATTATAAAAAATAATCCACAAAAAGTCTGAACCTGACTTGCCCAGTAGAATCAGTGATAAGGTATCACAGCAAGTAATAGGTTATTTGTAGTTTGTGACATGACCTTGTGACACGACCTTGGCATTTTATAGCTGCCCCCCTCCCCCATAACCTGAAATAGAACAAGTCCTGGTGACATGAGCAGAGGCATTATCCCAAACTGTGAAAAAATTTTAAGTAACCGACCCAATACACTTAGCCTGAGTGTCAGCCTTGTTAGCTTTCGTCCGCTACCCAAGGTCCGCTCCCCAAGATCCTGTTGGCAGGGAGCGGACCTTGGGTAGTGGAAGAAAGCTAACAAGGCTGACACTCAGGCTACAATACACTAGTTTCTGAATTACAACATGACCCTGTGACCTTGACTGTTTTTTCCCGCCCCCCTCCCCCATCAAGGTGCTGAAGCAGAACCCGTTCTGGTGGACGCACCAGCGGCATGATGGGAAGCTGTGGAACCTGAACAACTACAGAACGGACATGATCCAGGCGCTCGGAGGCGTGGAGGGAATCCTGGAACACACGCTCTTCAAGGTAAAACTCTTCTATTTCATATCTCGTCTGTACAACTCCCCAAACTCCTCTCACACATGCTACATCCTGGAACCCACGCTCTTCAAGGTTTGTTAGTGTTCCGTATAACCGGTAAACCGCCTTTAGGCATAACACACCAGTTTTGTACATAGTGCAAGCTTCGTAAGATTGGACTGTAAGGTTTGAACCACTCACACCGGGAAGGACCCCTACGATTTTCGATAAGTGCAGTGGGTTCTTAAAGTGTGTGGGGTGTGGCTCTCCCTAAATATGGGACCTCCATTAGAATAGAAATATATGTACTTACTAAAAAGAGAATTGTTATATTATGTCAGCCAGGAACTACAGAAAAATATGTAAATTTGTTAATGTTTGTTTCAAAAAGAGAGAAGAGATCCTGTAGATATAGACGTAGTGCAGTAATGTAACACTTGTTCCTCCTACCCTTGTACCTCAGTTCATGTGGGGCATGAATATGCAATCAAGTTCATTGTCATTGTCAATAATAAAGAATTGAATTTTCAGGGCACATACTTCCCCACTTGGGAGGGTCTGTTCTGGGAGAAGGCGTCCGGCTTTGAGGAGTCGATGAAGTACAAGAAGCTGACCAATGCACAGAGATCCGGTCTGAACCAGATTCCCAACCGACGCTTCACCCTCTGGTGGTCTCCAACCATCAACAGGGCAAACGTAAGTAGATGTAGATGTCAGTTTTCTTAAAGGAAGTAGAGAAATGTCTTAGAGGTGAATATGACTTGTGTCATGCTGAAAAGTTGGAAGCTGAAAAACATCTTAGAGTTGAAAAAGTGGATCACTAAATGTCTCCAACCAATGTATATCCAATCAGTTTCCCTGTCTGAGAACAGAGTCATTGGTGTAGGTCACTTCTTCAGAATTTGGACACGACATCACTGAATATTATTTGTCACATGTACATGACTTAAAGGTGAAATTATATTTGCAAAATGTTTTAAATGATTAACAAATATTTAAATTTCTGCCAAATTGATATGTTGTAAAGGTTTAGAAATTCAGGAAAAGAGATTTTTGGTAAAACCGACTCACCCACAACCTTGGCTGTTCCATTTGTTGCAGTTGCACTTTAACCTTTATTCTTTGACCTGGCAGGTGTACTTTAACCTTTACCCTTCGACCCCTGCAGGTGTACTTTAACCTTTCCCCTTTGCCCCTTGCAGGTGTACGTGGGATTCCAGGTGCAGCTGGATCTGACCGGGATCTTCATGCATGGCAAGATCCCCACGCTGAAGATCTCTCTGATCCAGATCTTCCGCGCTCACTTGTGGCAGAAAATCCACGAGAGCGTGGTCATGGATCTGTGCCAGGTAATGCTTGTTCAGTTTTATGAAACAAGTTCAAGCTGCTATTTCCAATGCAAGAGATTGGAATGACCCAAATTTTTGACTGTACAACTCCATTATTTGTCAAGGAATGAACAATCCACCACTTTCATGACGTCACACAGATAACACACGTGACTCCATGGCAGAAAGTCTGGCGACCACCCAACCTACCACCCTGGAAGTACAATTTCTAATATGTAGGAAATTGCAGTTCAAACTTGTTTCATATTGACTTCTACCAACCAGATGTCTGTCACCATGGTAACTGGTGCTGTAGCAGACACCGTATGTTGTTGGGTTTGATTATGTAGCATATTTGGAGGGTATTGTCTGAGCTGAACAGTAGGCTGTTAGGCTAGACCATTACTTTAGTGACAGTGAAAGTTCTCAACTGTACCTGTTCCCAGGGTTGGGTAAAAGTGAAAGTGCTCACCTGTCCTATTGTGTCCCCCCAGGTGTTTGACCAGGAGCTGGATGCCCTGGAGATTGAGACAGTTCAGAAGGAGACCATCCATCCCAGGAAGTCTTACAAGATGAACAGCTCGTGTGCCGACATCTTACTGTTCGCCGCCTACAAGTGGAACGTCTCCAAACCATCGCTCCTCGCAGACTCCAAGTAAGTGATTCGTCTTAGGGAATCTTGTTCTGTCTTAAGAAATTCTGTCTTTTTTCCTCTTCTCAAGAAATCTTGTTGTCTGTCTAAGCAATCTTTTACTTTGTCATAGCAAATCTTGTCATATGCCTTATGGATTTTGGTCCTCTGCCTTAAGAAATATTGTCCTTTGTCTTGTGTCTAAGAAATCTTGTCCTCTGCCTAGTCTTTATTTTGTCCTTTGTCTATAAGAAATCTTCCTCTGTCTTGTTGAAATCTTGTGTTCTTGTAACGTCAAGATTTCACTAGACAACAAGACTTCACAGAACTAGAAATACTGGCTAGACACACACAAGAAAACACACAGGTACCAATACGACCTGGCCATGACTGTTTGTTCAACTTTTGGTCCAACACAAAGAAAGTTCCCTCAGCTAAAGCTTCTGACCAGTCACTCTGGTCTTCCTCAGTAGACTGACCCAGTGAGGCTTGTCATGTGGCTTCAACCCTGGTTCAGTCTTACTGAGGAAGACCAGAGTGAGTGGTTGTAATCAAACGTTTCAACTCTAAACATGTAACTACCAACAAAAATTAATCTTTATAGTAACGTGTTTGTTTTTTGGTTGCCAGGGATACGATGGACAGCACGACAACACAGAAGTACTGGCTGGACGTGCAGCTGCGTTGGGGCGACTATGATTCCCACGACATCGAGCGCTACGCCCGCGCCAAGTTCCTGGACTACACGACAGACAACATGAGTATCTACCCCTCACCCACCGGCCTCATGATCGCGATAGACCTGGCTTATAACCTACACAGGTGGGCAGTTTGTTACTTTGTGTGTGTGTCTGTGTTTGTGTGTGTGTGTGTGTGCGTGTGTGTGTGTGAGTGTGTGTGTGTCTGTGTGTGTTTGTGTGTGTCTGTGTGTGTATGTATGTGTGTGTGTGTTACGGTGTGTGTGTGTGTGTGCCTGTGTCTGTGTGTGTGTTTGTGTGTGCGAGTGTGTGTGTGTGTGTGCCTGTGCTTGTGTGTGCATGTGAGTGTGTGTGTGTGTGTGTGTGTGTGTTTGTGCATGTGTCTGTGTGAGTTTGTGCATGTCTGTGTGTGTTAGTGTGTGTGTGTGTTCAATCATCCTACTTTAAATGCTGAGTGCAAAGACATGTACCATTTGTTAAAGTCTTTAGTCATCTTGACCTTGCTGACCTTGACCTCTAACCTCTGACCTGCCCTCTGACCCCACCTTAGTGCATACGGGAACTGGTTCCCGGGTTGCAAGCCGCTGATCCAGCAGGCCATGGCGAAGATCATGAAGGCCAACCCTGCGCTGTACGTGCTCCGGGAGCGGATACGCAAGGGCCTGCAGCTCTACTCCTCCGAGCCCACCGAGCCGTACCTGTCATCCCAGAACTACGGAGAACTGTTCTCCAACCAGATCATCTGGTTTGTGGACGACACCAATGTCTACAGGGTCACCATACACAAGGTAGGAACACCAACGGTTAGGTGTGATACATGTACATATAGGTTGTTGGATGTAATGTAGCCGACCGAGCCGTACCTGAGCTCGCAGAACTACGGGGAACTGTTCTCCAACCAGATCATCTGGTTTGTGGACGACACTAATGTCTACAGGGTCACCATACACAAGGTAGGAACACAGTTAGGTGTGGGAACAAGGTAGGAACTCCAACGGTTAGGTTTGACAGGTTGTTCGATGTAGCCAACCTAAAATATTGGGTGGATCACATTTAGAACCAGAACTACAGAGAACTCTTCTCCAACCAGATCATCTGGTTTGTGGATGACACCAACGTCTACAGGGTCACCATACACAAGGTAGGAACATTCGCAGAAGGAAAACATATTGTTTTTGCTCAGTTTCCTCTTCTCCAAACACAGAAGGTCAATGACCTGGACCAGACCTCTGTCACCATCATTATGATAACTGGTGCTGTAGCAGACACCGTATGGTGCCGGGTTACATTATGTAGCAGGACAGAGTTGGGGAGCCTGCTTGCCATACATGAATGAATTGACTTTTACTAGTTTTAGTTAGAATAAACAGAGCAGTAGTTTGTTAGGCAAGACCAGGTGAAGGTAAACGAATGCACTGCAAATGTTACCTTTTCTAGTTTTTGATGTATTAGTATTCAAAAATGCCTGTTCTCATCTGATTTTGCCTTGTTCTGCAGACGTTTGAGGGCAACTTGACGACAAAGCCCATCAACGGAGCCATCTTCATCTTCAACCCCAGAACAGGACAGCTGTTCCTTAAGATCATCCACACCTCCGTCTGGGCAGGGCAGAAACGTCTCGGACAGGTGAGAACTTTCACTTTTAATCTTGTAATCGAATCTCTTCAGAGTAGACACCTGTTCCTTTTCGTGTGACTGAGTGTATTCATCCAAAACAAAGACTGGTACTGTCCAGTGAGTTGTAAATTTGGTTAACCAGCACGTCGGCAGAACGTACTGCACCTGCGCGAAACTTAATGCATTGTACACAGCACTTCGGTAGAACGTCTCATTTAAGGTTGTATCTGCCCATATAAGGAAAACATTTTGTCTGTAGTTTCCAAATGTTATGTCGGAAATTATCTCCTCTGCAACAGCCAAAATTCTCATACAACGTTGACCAAAAATCCATCGAAAACCGTGAAAATACAGGGTTCTGCGCAGGTGCAGTACGTTCTGCTGACATGCTTGGTTAACCCCAGTTCCTTTATGTCACATGACAAGAGAACTCCAAGACAAGATCTCACTGGGTTGAAGAAGAGACAAAGTACGTCTCGAAAGCTCCCCAGAGTAGCTCTGTTTGTTGTGTGTTTCGTTATATTTGTTAAAAGTAAGCGTCTGTCCTGTTACAGCTGGCCAAGTGGAAAACTGCAGAAGAGGTGGCTGCCTTGATCCGATCCCTGCCGGTGGAGGAACAGCCCAAACAGATCATCGTCACCAGGAAGGGCATGTTGGATCCACTCGAGGTTAGTACAAACAAACAAACAAACAAACAAACAAACAATCAGTAAACAAGCCGCCAGGGGGCCCAAAATCTAATCATTTCGAGGTCTCATCAAGACCTACCCATCTGCCAAATATGAAGAATATCCATTTAAGCCTTTTCGAGTTTACAGACAGACAGACACACCCACACACAGACGAACACCCATGAAAACATAACCTTCTTGGCAAAGTTAACAAATCAACAGTATTGAATGTTGGCTGGACATTGTGTCATTGGAAGACACTTTTCCTGACTCCACCCAGGTGTAAAATGGGTACCAGACTTTGGTTGGGGAGGTAAAAGGCAGTGGAAGGAGAGGGATGGGTTCCACCTTCCAATACTGTGCCCTAGACACAGTGAATCAACAACCCACTGTCCCTACATCCTGAAAAAGGCTATGGGACAACCTTTACCTTTTATAATACTTTACAAACCTTACAAACCAAAACATAAACATTAGATTGTGGTTGTAGATAAGATTTGAATTATGATAAAATTCTGTTATGTTTCAAAGCAGAAGAAAGGAAAGGAAATTTTTGCAACCCAAAAGCGTTGCAACCTTTTCTACCTGTTGCGTCAATGTTTCCGCAAATCCGGAATACTGTTATCTCAATCAGTTTAATAAATCGAACCATTTTGTTATCATGAAAGTTCATCTGTGTTGGTAGTTACATGTTTAAAGTTAAAACTTTTGGTCCAACACAAAAAATTCTCTCACCTAGAGCTTTCGACCAGACACTCTGGTCTTCCTCAGTAGACTGACCCAGTGAAGCTTGTCACGTGGCTTCTTTGAAGTGCGATGTCAACACTGGGTCAAAGGTATCTGGTAGATGATGTCGGCCCCCGTCGTGGTTCAGTGTAGGGTGATGGGCCCTGAACCATTTTGTTCTTTTGCTCCAGGTTCATCTGCTTGACTTCCCCAACATCGTCATCAAGGGCAGCGAACTGCAGCTTCCATTCCAGGCTTGCCTGAAGGTGGAGAAGTTTGGGGACCTGATTCTGAAGGCCACCGAACCTCAGATGGTTCTGTTCAACCTCTACGATGACTGGCTAAAAACTATCTCGTCTTACACGGTAAGTGTGGGGAGGGGGGCACACTATACAGTAGTCCTATGGTAGTGTGGTACAGGACAAAAGTTTGGAGACCTGATTCTGTAGGCCACAGAGCCACAGATGGTCCTATTCAACCTCTACGACGACTGGCTCAAAACTATCTCGTCCTACACGGTAAGTGTGGGGAGGGGGGCATACCGTACAATAGTACTGTTGTTCAGGGCAGAAGTTTGGAGACCTGATTCTGAAGGCCACCGAACCACAGATGGTCTTATTCAACCTCTACGACGACTGGCTCAAAACTATCTCGTCTTACATGGTAAGTGTGGGGAGGGTGGCACACTGTACAGTTTTGTAGTTCTGTTGTTCAGGGCAGAAGTTTGGAGACCTGATTCTGAAGGCCACAGAGCCGCAGATGGTTCTTAATCAACCTCTACGACAACTGGCTCAAAACTATCCCATCTTATACAGTAGGTGTGGGGAGGGGGGCACATATGTGGGGAGGGGGGCAATACATTACAAGTACAGTTACGTAGTATTGTAGACAACCATGAAGACAAGTTATAATTCAAAAAGGCCACACTGACTTAATTTTAGGGATGACATCCTCTAAACACCCCCAAACTAGTGCGCAGGGGCAAATTAAAAAAAAATTTCAGCCAGAAAAAAATAAATTACAGCTAAATTACAGGAATACAAAGCTGGTTAATGTGAATTTGCTGTAGTACACGGCGACTTTACGACAAGCCGGCACATGCTGACCTTCTGGGACATTTATGAGTCAGCACTAGAGCTGTGTACCTAAACAAATTTTAGGTACAGGTACAGGTACAGGTACACAGGTTTAGGTACAGGTCCGGACCTGAACCTGTACCTGAACAATTCGACCAATTTATATGCTCTTCTGAACTCCTTCAATAACAAAAAAACATAAATAAACTTGATAGTTAAGGTTTATTCTTTGTTTATGGCGAATGCTCAGATAAAATATAGGCAAAACTAAGATGTTTTTGTTTTCATGAACACACTGTCCTTACACAGGCACCCATTGTTAACCAGCTATTTAAACATTTGAGGTCACAAATAGGCATAAAATTGGTGTGAAATTGTTTAGGTACAGTACCGGTACTGAGGGATTAGGTATTTTGGACCTGTACCTAATCAATTTTTCCGGTACAGTATCGGTACTGCGTACCGGTACACAGCTCTAGTCAGCACTGTACTGAGTTCTTGAGTTCCGTGGAGCTTCGGTAGCCTGGGTACCATCCTCCATATCTGTACAATTAAATTAGTGTGAAGGTGACCAAGTAGCAGTTTTAAGTCCTGTATTTCCTTGATTCCTGCAGGCCTTCTCTCGTCTCATCCTGATCCTGAGAGCTCTACACGTCAACAACGACCGGACCAAGGTGGTCCTGAAACCGGACAAGACAACAATCACCGAGCCGCACCACATCTGGCCAACACTCAGCGATGAGGAGTGGATCAAGGTTGGTTTGTTTTATTCATGAAACACCTTGTCATGAGAAAGGAGGTCAGGGTCAGACAAAAGATAACAAGATACACTTGAACATACAGCGTGAGGTTGGATGCTCACCTGCTAAGAAGCTCTTTGCGACTTGACGTGCCTTTCAGCACCAAGAGTAGTTGAGATCGTCAGTCAGGGCCACCTTTCCTTGGGCGTTTCATCCTCTAACCCTGATACACCCTCTAGGTGGGAGGACGGCAGCGTGGACGTCTCCACGGTGCCTCTCTTCTACTCTTCTCTGAGCTATGATGACTCCTTTCCTCTCCATATCTTCTCGTTTCTCTTAATCCAAAGCCAGAAGCTGCATTTTTCCACTTCCTCTGTTACCTGCTTCACTACTTGGGCCTGGCTAATGGAAAAGTCTCTGCATAAGTTCGTAAGAGATCTCGCTGCAAAGTTGGAACAAATTCATATAGTCATACAGGGTCTGTGTCATATTCCTTCCACAAACAGTTTTACAAAGAACACAGTGTCATAGAAAATTGTGACAATAGTCTGTGTCCATTCATTTTGGTTGTTCTGTAGGGAATGGGCATAGTGGTTCACAACCTTTCTCAAGACCAAAAGGTTGATTGAATTCCAAGGATCAGTGGCAATACGAGAAGAAAAGTGTCATTTCCTTTGTACTTATTGAAGTTTGCTAGGATTAAGCACAAGAGACAGCTACAACATTAGAGCTTTGAGCCTTGTTTCTAGTGGTTTCAAAATATCTTTCCTTCTCCCTGCAGGTGGAAGTTCAGCTGAAGGACCTGATCCTGGCGGACTATGGGAAGAAGAACAACGTGAACGTGGCGTCGCTGACGCAGTCCGAGATCCGTGACATCATCCTCGGGATGGAGATCTCCGCGCCGTCGCAGCAGCGGCAGCAGATCGCAGAGATCGAGAAACAGACGAAGGAACAGTCGCAGCTCACGGCCACCACAACTAGAACGGTCAGTTTGTGTGTTTGTTTGTTTGTTTAGGATCTCCATTAATGTGAATTTCACACTGTCCATAGTGAATTGTGATAGTTAGGGCTGTAGTTAGATGAGGTGGAGAAACAGAGGAAGGAACAGTCACAGCTCACGGCCACCACCACAAGAACGGTACGTTTGTTTATTATTATTAGGCCTAGAAAAAGGAATTGCTGTGTTTCCTGTTACCCGACTGACCCTAGAAAAAAACCACAGACTCTAGCCTATTTTTCTGTGGATCCCTGCAAGGGTTGTACAAACAGTTTTCCAACAGGCTGTAGTGCATGAGGCTAGACCAACCCAAGTCTCCAAAAATCTAAGCAAGAACGACAAAGCATTTGATTTTTTCCTGCGACATTTGGCAAAAAAAGTTTCCAATAAATATTTGTTAACCTTAGGTAGCCTTTTTTTCTTTTTATTCTTATATGTAATTAAGAAAGGTTTTAATGTAAGCGTTCTTTTCTAACAACAAGGCATAATTTAGCCTATGGCTGCCAGTCCTTTGTAAGTTTTAACAATAAACCGTTTGAATATAATTGGGACATTTCCCCCCGGTTACAGGTGAACAAACATGGTGACGAGATCATCACCTCCACCCTCAGTAACTACGAGCGCGCGACGTTCTCCTCCAAGACGGAGTGGCGAGTCCGCGCGATCTCGGCCACCAACCTGCACCTGCGCACAAACCACATCTACGTGTCCTCAGACGACATTAAGGAGACAGGATACACCTACATCCTACCCAAGAACATCCTCAAGAAGTTCATCGTCATCTCGGACCTGAGAGCACAGGTGACTTGGAGAAAGTGGGAAAAAGAAAGTGAAAAAAAGGAAGAAAAAGTTGGTTGGACTGGAAGAAATCTTCTTCAGATGTCACTGCTCTGTCTGAATGTAGTTTGGTCTGGTTTGTACAACATATTAATATTAATGTGGGAAGGGTAATTGAATAAATGGAGGGGAGGGAGGGAGGGAGGATGGATGGATGGATGGATGGATGGATGGATGGATGGATGGATGAACCACAAAAGGAATGAAAGCCAGGACTTGGAGAAAGAAGTCAAAGATTATCTCTTAGACCTGACATCTCAGCAGTGCATTTCCATATGGAGGTGTTTGTGTGTGTGTGTTTCCACATACTTGTGGTTAGCATAACATAAAGGTCTGGATGGGTTATGTTGATACTTGGTATGTGGGTAGGCCTTGGAAAGAGGAAGCTGCAGGTTGATTCTGCTGATTTTTGAAGGTGCAGGCTGATTTTGTTTTGTTCTTGTTGTTCCAGATCGCAGGTTACCTGTACGGAGTGAGCCCACCTGACAACCCCCAGGTGAAGGAGATCAGGTGTATAGTGATGGTTCCACAGTGGGGAACACACCAGACTGTACACCTGCCTAACCAGGTACGCATAATTAGCTCACCTGTGTAGGCCATGTTGATTTGATTATATGGATGACATCCTCTGGAAACCCCAAAACTGATGCGAGCGTGCGAATTAAAAAAGTTGCTTTCGTTATGAAATCTACATGGTTTTGAAGGTTGAACAAATAACACAGAGTATGGTTTGGCGAATAATCTAGTCTTCAATTTCTTGCTGTATGCATGTCTGTTGCCTTATAGGAGCTGTTGGGAAAATGCATACAGTCAAAAAGAGATTCACAAATGGACATAACAACTTAACAAAAACTCAAATATTTTATAGAAGTGTGAGAAGTTCGATTTCTTGTCCATTTTGATTTCTAGTCTATTTTACTGGCTGAGGTTGAATTGGAGAACTCTCTAAATGCATTATTTCAGGGTGGTGGATATATCTGACCTGCTTGTAGAATTAAGTACTACTAAATAGACTGAACAATCTTTGACATGTAAAATTTTCCCCAACAGCTGCCTCAGCATGAGTACCTTAAGGAGATGGAGCCACTGGGCTGGGTGCACACGCAGCCGAACGAGTCACCGCAGCTGTCTCCACAGGACGTCACCACCCACGCCAAAATCATGGCGGACAACCCGTCCTGGGACGGAGAGAAAACCATCATCATCACGTGCAGGTGAGTTAGAAGGAAAGGAAAGTGATCTCGATCCAGTTTTCGCTCACTAAAGAGCTCATCTTCCACTGGTCGTGACAGAGAAGACAAATGTTGAGTATATACTGGTTCATTGTACTGTTCATAACTCTCTTTGACAAGCACAATGAACAGTGGACCACAGCCACAACAGCTGGGATTCAAACACTTGGTCCAGAGCCAGGGTTGCTATCTACTGGACTATGCTCGATACTAGTTTAAGTTGATGATGATGATGGAAGTAAAAGTTAAAGTTCATGATAAATGATATTAAATGATAGTGAAACACAGGTCCAAACCTAACACGTACTTCCCTTTCCCACCCAGTTTCACGCCCGGATCCTGCTCCCTGACTGCCTACAAGCTGACGCCGAGCGGCTACGAGTGGGGTCGACAGAACACGGACAAGGGAAACAACCCGAAGGGCTACCTGCCTTCCCACTACGAGCGCGTACAGATGCTGCTGTCTGATCGCTTCCTCGGGTTCTTCATGGTCCCCTCACAGGGATCCTGGAACTACAACTTTATGGGTCAGTTTGGTTTTTAAAAAATGAAGGCTTTGTGGGTGTGGGTGTGTTTGTGCATGTGTGTGTGTGTGTGTGTGTGCGTGTGTGTGTGTTTGTGCATGTGTGTGTGTGTGTACATGTGTGCATGTGTGTGTGTGTATCTGTCCAACCGCTTCCTGGAGTTCTTCAAGTTTCCATCGCAGGGGTCCTGGAACTACAACTTCATGGGTCAGTTTGGTTTTTAAAAACTGAAGGCTTCGCGAGTGTGTGTGAGTGTGTGTGTGCGTGTGTGTGTGTGTGTGTGTGTGTGTGCATGATCCCCTCGTAGGGATCCTGGAACTACAATTTCATGGGTTAGTCCTCTTTGTTTTTTAAGACTGGAGGTTTTGTGTGTGTGTGTGTGTGTGAGTGTGTTTGTGCACGGTTGTGTGTGTGTGTGTGTGTGTGTACTTGTGTGTGTGTACATGTGTGTGTGTTTGTGTGTGTGTGTGTGTGTACATGTGTGTACGAGCGTGTGTATGTGTGTGTGCACACGCATTTGTGTGTGTGTGTGTGTGTGTGCGTGTGTGTCTGTGTGTGTACATGTGTGTGTGTGTGTGTGTGCTTGTATCTGTCTGATTGCTTCCTCGGGTTCTTCATGGTCCCCTCACAAGGATCCTGGAACTACAACTTAATGGGTTAGTTTGGTTTTTAAAAACTGAAGGCTTTGTGTGCGTGTTTGTGTGTGTTTGTGTTGGTGCGTGTATGTGTGTGTGTGTGTGCGTCTTTGTGTGTGTGTTTGTGCATGTGTGCGTGTGTGTTTGTGTGTGTGTGTGTGTGTGTGTGTGTGTGTGTGTGTGTGCGCGTGTGTGCATGGTCGCCTCGTAAGGATCCTTAAACTACAACTTCATGGGTCAGTTTGGGGGGGGTGTTTGTGCATGTGAGTGTGCACGTCATTCCTTTTTTTCCACACTGACCATTCCTTGTATTTTCCTCAGGCGTGCGTCACGACCCCAACATGCACTTCGAGCTCCAGCTTGCCAACCCGAAGGAGTTCTACCACGAGGTTCACCGACCTTCTCACTTCATGAACTTCGCTTCCATCGAGGAAGGCGAAGTCTTGGGCACAGACAGGGAGGACCTCTTCGCGTAAAACGGCTCCGACCCAGAGGTGTCGCCAAAAACGTCCCTGCCACGACAAAGGGTTTAATCGAAGTCTTTTAACAAATATTTTTAACCATACACACAATACTGGTGAGACCCCCCAAAGTTTGCTACTCTGGGTAGCTTTCAAGACACACTCATGTTTCTTCGTCAACCCTCTTGCGTAAAATGGTCCCGTAACAATGGCTCTGCCCTCTGCCAAAAAGGGTTGAAGTCTTTTGACAAATGTTTTAAACCACACATACCGGTACAACAAAATGAGTTTTCAACTATGGGGAGCTTTTGAAACACACCCTGTCTTTTCATCAACCCAGTAAAGTCAGATCCCGTCTTGGAGTTGTCTGATTTTCTAAAGTGAAGCAGCTTTGTACAAAATCAATCTTTTTGACAGGATAAAATCTTATCTTTTGGCATAAAGACCATCCAAAAAGTGGCTCCTCCGTTGAGGTATAGCCTGTAATGTTTCTGTCATAAACAAAGGGATGAAAATCTATATTAACATCCGAGTTCTTGAAATGAAGCAGTTTTGCACTGAAAAAGCTCTTCATGGAACAGAAAGTTATCAGGGTGCTTTCGTGGGAAACTTCTTGGTGTAGCATTATCCTTGTGTTGTGGAAAGGACCTAATATCTTTTGCAGCGGTGTACATGCTAAGAAAACACTCAAAGGTTTTGTGGTAAAAGATTTCTTTGTGACACGTGTATCTAGTATAGAATGGAGAAACGTGGTAGTTTACATGTAAGTCATAGGGAAGGTAAGTCCTGTACAGTCATACAGATGTGTGTGGGTTTTGTTTTTTTTCAAAGTAGTATAAGATCTCTAAATTGTCCAAGAAGACTGGGATAGTAGCTGTGACATAGTGGCAGTGGTGTCAAATTTAACAGTATATTAGCAGGTGTTAGTTCATACTCTTGTATTACGATTTTGGGTGAAATATTCTCAAGATCTGTTGAGTGCACTATCACACAAAAAACGTCTTTGGAACCAGCAAAGATATTTGCAGGGGGGAGTGTTGTAGGCACTAAGAGAATAAGTGCAAAGTGTAAAGGCAGTTTTCTAACTCCAAGTAGCTTCAGTAGTAGCAAAATTAAGGATACGGAAAATACATAAGTAAAATGTTAAGAAATCATGGGAAGTTTTAATGTACAGTTGAGTTAAACGGGGAGGTTTCTTAAATACGAGAACTGAAAAACAGCATTTTGTAACCGATGCATTCCAATCTTAGAGTGTGTTATATCAAGTGTACCACATAACATGTTGGCTGACATGTTGAATATAATACTTGGCTTACTGCCTAATACTTGTACTGTAGATTATTGTGACTCTTCATATTTGTCCTTACACTTAACACTAGTCTGTGGGTTTGAAATTTCACGTCGGCAATTCTGTGATACCACAGTTAAGTTGCTTGAGTGACTATTTCTTGTGTATGATCATAAACACCTGAAGGCCTTCGGTAGGCCACCCCATCTTATTTCGGTCTTGGGAGAAAAAACTACTTAAGGTACCAAACTAGTATGGCAAGATGTGTAATTTTGTGATGCAAATAAAACTGTAAGTACAGTACGTGTGTCTATCTTTTATATGTTAATTACATGTACTATCATGAAAGTTCATCTGTGTTGGTAGTTACATGTTAAAACTTTTGGTCCAACACAAAAAAAGTTCTCTCACCTAGAGCTTTTGACCAGCCACTCTGGTCTTCCTCAGTAGACTGACCCAGTGAGGCTTGTCACGTGGCTTCTTTGAAGTGTGAGCTCTAGGTGAGAGAACTTTTTTGTGTTGGACCAAAAGTTTTAACTTTAAACACTTAATTACATGTAGTTAAGTAAACATCAAATCTCAGAACTCCACAACTTTACATTCCGCCAGTTTTTATCCGGGTCTGTCTGTATTAAAATCAGTACTATTTGTATTCGGAAAAGCTCCGAAGTCGGTGATCAGACTTTTGACAGTGTCTCGCCCCTGACATACCGGTATCTGCTTGGAGATAGCTGCAGTCCAAAAATCAAATCCAGCCGCTTGCAGAGTCAAGTTCCGTTTATATATAGCCCCCCGCAGTATGTAGCCTGGTTACCAGTCTCCACAGGGCGGCTTAGGGGTGTCTTACCGGCCCCAGTCTAGCCTGGTTACCGTTCTCCACAGGCCAGCTTAGGAGTGTCTTACAAGCCCCAGTCTAGCCTGGGTACCGTTCTCCACAGGCCGGCTAAGGGGTGTCTTACCGGGCCCCCAGTCTGGCCTGGTTACCGTTTTCTCCAGGCCGGCTTATGGGTGTGTACATGGGAGCGGGCCAAGAACTGCCCATACTTAATACACTGTACATGGGAGCGGCCCCGTTTGTCGAGCCCCTTAGTAAGTAAAGGCCTCTCTTGACATGCACAATCTTTCCAGCTTACGCACTAATTTAAACCGACCCCTTTAAGGTAGATATATGCTGTGGTGTGTTGGCTCGGAGCCCAGTCGCCTCCCACGGCCACTACCGCCCACCTATACTCTCCAAGCAGAGGTTGGTGGGGGGAAGATCGTCACCGTTTTATATATGCCTCGTTTTATATATGC